TTGATCCTGTCACATTTTGCTCGCAGGATTTCATCATCGTCAATCTCAATGCCGCAGCAATTGTAGATATCCAGAATCTCCAGGCAAGAATAGTTCTCGAGGATGGCCGTCAGTCCTTGATTGGTGAGTTCAATATCGTCAAGCTCTAGACTCTGCAGCGCTACCAGAGGGGACTTGGACGCAGATTTTTTGAGCTTAGGCATCCCGGTCGCGTTATCGTGGGCATTGGTTCAGAGGCTTGTTTTTGAGATGTGCGATGACTCTGAGAAATTTTGCAGCGTTATTATAGGACTCGGGTACTGTATACTTTGTTTCTTTCCTCCGCCGATGGAATCCAATCTGCTCTCTCTCCCTGCCTTTTCTTTTCTCTCTCTCCCTCTCAACTCTCACATGCGCTCTCTCTCTTGTCGAACACAGCAGCTCTTTTGTTCGTCTTCTATCTCAAAATCTCTCTCACTGTCTCACCAGGAGGAAGATAGGCTCTCTCTCCTCCCCAAACTCTCAACACCGCCTCATGGAATATGCAGTTCTTTTCTCTCTCTTCTCGCACACAACATGCCGAACAGACTCTCTGTCTCTCCCCATGCCATTTCTCATCTCTCTCACACACACAACTCTATATCTCAAGAAAAAAATAACTCTCTCTCTCTCTACCCTGCCATGTCTCTTCTCTCTCACTACCCTGCCATGTCTCTTCTCTCTCACACACAACTCCCTATTTTTTTAAAGATCTCTCCCCTGCCATTTCTCCTCTCTCTCACATAGAGCTATCTATCTCAAGAAAAAAAAGCTCTCTCTCTCTCCTCACCTTTCTCGTCTCTCTCCCTCGCAACATCTCTCTCACATATGGGATGCAGTGAGTTTTATGCCCAGAGCACCTCAGTTCGTATTGCCATATAATATAGCATGTGCCCTTGTCTCTTTGTGTTTGGGCATGCAGCTCACGGGAAGAACAGTGAGCTACGAGTTCCTGTAGCCCCCTGGTGTCTCCCGTAGTCACATCATAGGCATAGCCTGTTAAACGGGTTGGGATATGGCCCATCAGCTCTGTGAAATGCTTTTGACCACATGACGACAATCGTGATTCAGATGAAAGGAGCGGCTAGGATAGAGGCGCCCCGATGCGTAAGCTCTCACAGACGTTTTCGGAGGGGACTTTTGTATCACCTCAATGAATACTTCGTTAGTGATGTTCTGGCATTGTTTGAGGCAAAGGCTCTTCAGCGATGGCGACCTATAAGATTAGCAACTGGCTGTAATTAGTAGTCAACCACCAAAAAGGAAATCAGATATGTTTACAAAGTAAATGGATATTTTAAAGATTTAGGCTATAATTAAAAACACACAATCTAGTACTAGTACTTTAGTAGCATTGACACTGAGCACGTACCTTTCAGCAATATAGATGAGGAGCTCATTGGTAACAAAACGCTCTCCCGCAAACATTTGAAGCTGCCCGTCGGAGCGGTCAACGGCCACCTTGGCCATCGCCAACAGTCTGGCAGAATACTTGAATCTCCGCACGAACTTGTGGCACTCCATCTTCACGCATCGCCAAACGTCGGGCGCCTTGGCCGCCTGGAGCCACGAGTGGCACACAAGGACCGCACCCATGAGGACGTCGATGGCACCGAGCTTGACGAAGAGGAAAGAAAGCACGTCGAGGGGAAGCTCCGACCAGTCCCGGGCCGGCGGCACCGGCGCAGGTGCCACGTCCATTTGGCAGATACCTAGACCAGATTTGGAGAGGTGGGAATCCAGTGAATTCGGAAAAGATTAATAGTTGTATCACCGTAAGTTGATCCATACCTAGGCCGACATGCAGCAGCGTGTAGATCAACTCCGCCGGGAAAGATGCGGAGGTCTATCTGATTCAGGGATCGTGCTTTTGGATGCAGTTTATAGAAGTCTATGAAGCCTAGGGGTTTGGGGATAGCTGAAGGGTGAGAGTTGGGCAATTATTTCGCAGGAACGCGATCCGTCGTTGACTGGAGAAGAGGGAAGGTTTTGCGCGGGAATGGAGGGTCGTGCGCTGCGGCCCGTCGTGTTCTACGCCAAATAATACTTACACCATTAACTACATCCAATTAGAGGGGAAGATGCGGGGCCTGGCCATGGCAATAGAAAGTAATTCTACGGTGAGACCTGGAGGAGGCGAAACGCATGCGTGGATGCGTCGATCCGAGGGGTGTTTGTTTTCAGGGACTTATTTGTGTAGGGACTAGAAAAAGTCTCTTTTAGAGACTTTTTTACCAAACGGAAGAGACTTTTTAGGGACTAAGCTAGGCATTTGGGACTAAATAAAGAAAATTCTTAAGGAGAGTCTTTTTGGGGACTTTTCCAACAATGCCCTACATGCATCCATTGGCCCGCCATCCTATGGTGTTGTTTGATTGTTATTTTTCTATATACTAGGGGTAACATGGTCATTTAATAATCTCTAGGAAGGGACTAGAGACTTTTTAGTCTCTAGAAACAAACAGGGAGGGACTTTTTAGGGACTAGGGACTTTTTAGTTGGGACTAGAAAAAGTCCTAGAACTTATGAACCAAACATGGCTTGAAACCAGACGGAAGCGCAATCGACGGACTCCTCGGAACTGTAAAGCCTCTTCATTAACCTAGTAATTAACTCATTCTCGAAAGAAAAAAACTTAATCAACTCGGCCTGCGTGTTTTCTAGAGGAGACGGAGGAGCGCTGGACTTCGTTTGAATTGTACACCAACACGACGAGGTTCTCCAGAGAGAGGTTGCCGGGCATCTCGCTGCTATATATATGCGCTACCTCAGGCGATCTCCTCGACCAGCTCTTACCATTCTGTCCCACCCCGGGCCGCCCGGCAATCGGCGATCCTCCATTCTTCGATCAGTAAGTGTACATGTAATCTATATATGCTTCCCCCGATCGATCCCTAGATTTCGTTCATCATTTTCTTCCCAGGGTATCACCCAATGCTGCACCACATGTCCACATCTCATATCATATAGTATGTGTTTCTCGCAGCTCTACTATTCGAGGCTTGCCCAACATGGCCTTTGCTGGCGTATCTCTCATTGTTGACGGCAAGCTGTGCGTCTCCACCAAGTCGGTCATCAACTCCGGAGCAGATACCGGGTACCACTTGCTGGTTGTCGAAGGTTACTTGCGCACCAGAGAGACTACTCCCAACGGCGAGTCCATCGAGTCTCGTCCTTTCATTGTTGGAGGCCGTCGTTGGATCATTGGCTACTCACCTAATGGCGATTCCTCGGATAATGAAGAATTTATATCGCTTGAGCTTGCCCTTGAGGACGATATCGAGCAGGGCGTTGAGTTTCAGTATGTCTTCAGTTTCATTGACCAGCCCGAGTTGCGGGTGCCAAAGCACATCCGCCAAAGCCAACCAGTTTACTTGGACGTGGATGAATTTTTGTATACCCAGTCTGAATTCATGAATAGGGAGGTTTTTGAAAGATCAAGGCATCTCAAGGACGACAGCTTCGTCATCCGGTGTGACCTTGTTGTCCACAAGTCGGCCGCGGACCACAAGGAGCAGGGCACCACCACTCTTCCTTTCACCGAATTGCCACAGTCTGACTTGCCAAGCCATCTTGGCGATCTCCTCCTGAGCAAGGAGGGTGCTGACGTCACGTTTGAGGTTGACGGCAAGGCGTTCGCTGCGCACCGGTGGATGCTTGCAGCCCGATCCACCGTATTCAAGGAACAGCTCTTTGACGCCATGAATGTGGGCGCTGCTACATCAAGTGTTGTCAAGGTAGTCGACATCAAAGCAAATGTGTTCCAGTGCTTGCTTACCTTCATCTACACTGATGGAATACCCAAATTCGAGATTGAGGACACAGAAGAGAATGACACGGAAGAAGACTGGCTGCTGCAGCTCCTTGAAGCTGCAGACAGATATGGTCTCCAAAGGCTCAAGTCAATCTGTGAAGAGAAGTTGACCGAATTGATTTGTAAGGACACGGTGGCAGACATCATTGTCGTGGCTGAGCGGAACCGGTGCCTCTGGTTGAAGCATTCTTGCTTGGAGTTCGTCAAAACTAGCACAAATTTGCACACTGTTTTCACGGCTGATGGGCTGGAGCAAATAATCAGGACGTGCAGACCCTCCGTTCTCAAGGAGCTTCTCTCCAAGTTTGCTTCCTGAATCGCTTGAGTTCTATAGACCTATGGTTCATGATTCCTCTATATAAGGTCATTATTGTGTCCCTGATGCATATCCATATTATGACATACAATTCTGTTGATGTTTACCACTACTATTCTAAATGTGTGCGCAGTACTGAAATATGAAATGCAGCAAAATACTCTATTCTATGTGCTTTGCTTGAATTCATTTGATCATCCATGCATGGCTCTATGTTGAAATGTTGAGATGAAATTTTTTGTGTTGGGTGCATCCATGGATAACCTGCATCAGCGGTAAGTGCAAGAACTAGCCAGCAGCATACAAGTTCGTTAGCATGCTCCGTTCTCCGATCCAATTGAGGGTGCATGATGTTACAAATAACATAGATAAATCTTGTGGATAACCAAAGCAATGGTACCAAACTATCACAATAAGGTAAATAATTTGACTATAAGGACCACACATTTACTCGAGATAATTGTCGACATCCTGTGATACATAACTGATTTTGATTTGGATTCTTTTTCTTCATGAAAATAAGCATAACTAAACTCGGTTAGCATCATTCTGACAGTACCATATCCATGCAATCCATGTACACTGTACATGGCACAATTGCTCGATACGAGTAGCATGTACAGACAGTCAGGTGACTAATCTGTAGGAACCATTATACAGCTCAGTTCATACATGAATATACAGTGGCTATTACCTTTACATAGAAGATCATCAATAAGTCAAGATTGGTGAGAAAAAGAGAAATTCTTTTACAGCAACAGCCTAGCTCTCTGGGACTCATATCCTGCCTTAAGCTACTTCTGAGGCACTATGTGCCTTTACCACACTAGCAAGGAACTCCACCCCTCAAAGTTAGCAAACTCTGCTTTGAGATGCTATATCAGATGGAATAAACAGGGTCATGAAAAAGAATGGATGACAGGGTCATAGTGTGGACTATGGAAAAGACACCAAACGGAAAATCAAGTTTCAATTCATGTAGCTAGACGATAAGGCTGATCTCGACTGATGTGGGGCAGCATAAAACATGACAGGAAAGGCGAACCCCGTGTATGTAGTAGGTAGTTATGTTTTAGCAAACTCTATCTTTTGGGGGTCATAATTCATGAATAGTTCTTTTTAAATAAGAGGCGCACAGGTGATGCTTTCTGCAAATGTAGATGATCTGTAAGACTGTAACAGTGTGAAACATCTAGATGCAAGCACATATATACGATAATTTAGTGATCAATGATGATGAGTCTATTGTGTTGTAGCTTTCTAAAGCTGGAACAGGAGATTTTATCCAACAATAGCTACTCCCTCTGTAAAGAAATATAAGAGTGTGTAGATCACACTACTTTAGTCATCTACACACTCTTATATTTCTTTACGGAGGGAGTACAAAATATATAAGAGTGTGTAGACTATTTGGAGAATACCTCAAATGGGGTGAACAAAATGAACGTAGCAAAGAACACCACATATTCACGGAAAAATGATATTTAGCCTCACCTTTGTTTTGAATTGTGTCTAGCCTTTGCTTTTCTCGCCTTCAAAGTACTTGAAGACGCCATATCCAGTCGTACCCCCGAGGAACAAGAGTACTGTCGGAGTGAACGACGGATACAGGTACTTAACTAAAAAACTGTCCCATTCTGTGGGCAGAAAACCTGCATTTTTCATAAGAAGGCTCAGATATGATTAGTTGAGTCAACAATTCCACAGTAGCAAAACCTTGCCCACCCTTAAAAAAAATTGTAACAGAGGCCAAAGATTTGCCTCATCCATTAGTTAAGGGAGAAATAGAGTGTTATGGTTACAAAGACGACACCCAAGCATCCACCAACATAGAACAAGGACACTACTCTCCTGGCATGATTAGACCCAAGTGTTTCGCCCCCGTGATGACCCAAAGTTTTGCCTCTTTCTTTATACCCTCAAGGAGGATTGTCGAGCGGACTTGTGGCAGAAGACCCTAGTATTTCTCTCATTCCAAATGGACTAACTTAGAGAATTTGGTTGATAAATGATTAACCCGGCTAATTTAGATCGAACCAAGGCGACGATGAATTGCACAGCATCACGGAAGCAAAACTTCAGTTCAGTTAAAATCACCAAGTCAGCAGTACCATGGCAAACCTGAAAAATGCATCTAGCATTTACAGAACAAAGGATGTTTCTTCACACCAGACGCCACTCAAGTTAGTAATACGTAGTACTCCACTGCGCCGCAATGCTTCTTAACTCTTATCATATCATGGCATCCCCCTAAATTCCAAATACCTACGATATCTACGAGCAATGTCCACCAGATTCCCCATAGCAATAGCAGTAGCATAGGTAGGTGATTTACCGGAGGCGGCGAGGGCGAGGCCCTGGAAGAGGATGATCCCGCCGAGGCCCAGCCAGGCGAAGAGGAAGGCGCTCTCGGTGGCCTGTCGCTGCCGGACCTCGTCCTCCGTGAACCGGTTCCCGCGGCCGCCGGGGTTGAACCCGGCCTTCGTCCGCTGCTGCTCGAACACCGACGCGCTCCCCGCAGGCGCGCGGCGGACCGCCACGTCGGGCGGCGGCTCCAGCGCCTTGTCCTTGCCCTTGCCCTTGCTGCTGCTGCTCTTGGACTTGCCGGGCTTCTTCTTGCCGCCGCCGGAGCCTGAGGCCGCGAGGGCGCGGAAGAGGGTGCGGGGGCGAGATGGGGCTGGGGAGAGGAAGGACGCGGCGGAGAGGGAGGCGGAGGCGGCCGTGGCCATGGCGACGGCGTGCGGTCGCTGCGCTGCCGGCGCGTGTTGGTTATCTCTGGCTTGGCTCGCTCTGTGGAGTGGGCGGTGGAGGTGGAGGCGACGAGGCGGGTTTTGTGGGCTGGGCCGTGGAGAAGGACATTGGGTTTTGTGCTGGAGAAATGGAGTCCGTTTTGTTTTGAGAGCTCAGGCCCGGTAGTTTCGGCCTGGCCTTCTGCTACAGCATGCACCCACAATCATCATTACCCTAAAATAAAAAAACCACAATCATCATTGGTTTTGCCAAAACAAGAGTACTCCTTGGTTTGAAAACTCAGAGAGGGAAATATTCCTTTACGGAGGGAGTCGAAAAGAAAGCAAGTTTTCGTGTCTTGAGATCGATTTGTAGGCATATGTAATTCTACATTCTCATATATTTTCTGACATAGAGAAGGGGTCAACGATGCATTGTCGAGACTCAGTGCAAGAGGACTACAACAGCAAGTGACACATGTTTAACTGAGTCAAATCAATTTGTAATTGCATCTTCTAGTGTGGAGGAAGTAGAACTTCGGGCATACCTTGCGGGTTTTCATATTCCTTTGGCTTTACATAGTCCCATCATTCTAGAAACATACTGCCTTTTGCAAAGTACTCCTTCTGTCCGGAAATACTTGTCACCAAAATGAATAAAGGGGGATGTATCTAGATGTATTTTAGTTCTAGATACATCTCTTTTTGTCCATTTTAATGACAAGTATTTTCGGACGGAGGGAGTACTACTTAGCTGATGAAATCCTGCACAAATCGACTCTCGTGGACTTGAAAAAGAGACTTAGTGGATTGCGAAATTTTCAATAATGCTAGAATTACAAAGAATCTGCAAAAGGTTTACTTAACCTTCAAAACTATTTCTCTTTCCCCCTAAATTTAACTGGGTGGGCCCCTTCATCCCCCTATTATCAATCAGAATCCTCCATTCGTATGTAAAAAAAATTAAGTAAACTTCTGTAGATGTAACATTACTCGCAAAATTTTATATGAGCTATAAAATGGGTGGGGTTTTAATGTTTTACTAGAAGGGTTTGGCGCGCTTTGGTGCGCCGTTGGTGTTGTTGGATTAAAAAAAACACTTTGTCTCAAAATATAAGATGATTTAAAAAAAATCAAACCTTTAAGTTTGACCAAATCTGTAGAGAGATATATCAAAATCCATAATATAAAATCGGTATTTTTAAATTCATCATGAAATGCATTTCCATACCTTTTTGTTTAATATTGTAGATGTCGATATTTTTGCTCTAAACTTGGTCAAAGTTAAAGAAATTTGACTTTCTACAAAGCTGATGCCCCTTATATTTTGACGGATGGAATATTCAGTTTGGCGGGTGGGGGAGATGATAGAGTGTGTTTTATTTTTGTTTACAACACGGTTATTTGGCGGGCCTTTCGTGGTGTGATTCTGGGTTATCCACTAAATATGCTATATTTATGTGGAAAAAAATTTGTGTCGGTGGTTGCATGTACTACTATATTGGTGCTACAATATCATATGGTGGTGCTTCTTTTTTTCACAAGGTGGGAGAGTGCGCGGGATTGATATGTGTTTATAGCCGATTGCCGCTGATTAATTTCAAAAATTGTTGGACCGATCAAAATCGTAAACCAAATCCAAAATTGATTACCTCAATTGAATGAAATTCTTCAAAATTAGGGAACATGGTGAATTAAAAGAATTGAATGGGAGATCTTGAGAAAGTTTTGGCCCAGTCAAAATCAATTGACTCAATTCTAAATTGAATACCTCAACTAATAATGAGGCCTTAAAAATTAAGAAGCATAGTGCATAGTATAAAGGAGTTAAATGAGAGAGCTTTGAGAGATTGTTGAGCTGGTCAAAATTGGGTGACCCAATCCTAATTGAAGATCTCAATTGAATATGGGCTCTTTAAAACTAGTGAGCTTAGTGTTATAGAGGATGGGTGATGTGCCATCGTGCGTGATTTATTGTGCAATGAAAGATTTTTTTTATGCCTTTGATTTCATTAATATATGATTTTTTATTAAAAAAAGGTAAATGCACTTGACAAGATGTGTGCTCCCAGGTAAAGAAAACTTGCAAGTCAACCTGTGGTTGGATGTTTAATTAGGACGACAGTGGTATCTCCAGCCTATCAGAGTTTATATTCTAGATGTGACATTGGTGCTTGCATTATTTCTGGATTTTATGCTTCCGGCATGTTCTTCAGTGCGAGATGTTCCCGTCGATTACAGGGGAGCGACTTCGATTGTATTGTGTTGAAAAAAAAATTGTGTGTCTTGTAAAATTTTGGAGGAAAAAAAAAGACTACATTCACGCACAAAAGAAAGAAAAACACAACATGCACATGGTAGCAAAATCAATAATTACCTGAAATACTAAACAAAGTTTTCCCTAAGGTAGCCCCAGGCAGGAGCTAGCATGTGCTCTGGGGAGCCATTTCGCCGTGGCGGTCAATATAATTAAGAGGGCGGAGGTGCCCATACAGCCGCTAATTTCATATCACAAGCAACGTTTAACACACCGGAGCGGAGCATATGCATGCACACACGCACAAAGCTTTAGCTAGCAGCCATGCATTATTAGCTGTCCCTTGACCTGAGACACGGATGCGCGTCGCACACCAACTAATCAACTAAAATAATTAGTGGGAGCTTTCGCACCCAGGACCCCAGAGTACTACGAAACCTTGTTAATTTTTAGTGCTACAGTGTACTTTTAGTGCTCTTCACTCACCACCAGTCACGATCACTGGCTCATTTGTATAACTAGGTAAACTAAACGCTAGCCCCTTTTGCACGGCCTTGTGCATTATAGTACTATAGAACTTTGGTAGTACAACATATGGATCGTCCCTTTTGTCTGCCCTTTGGCAAGTGCAGGGTTTGCAACCACCAGAAAAGTGAACTCGACTTTAAGCGCAAGCATTTGCAGGTGCTTAAGCTTAAACCTATCGTTTAGCTCGACTATGGACTATAGGTTGGCGTCATGTAGTATCTTTTACTCCTCTGTAAACAAATCCTATATCAACAAACTGGTCGGCCGCGATCACCACAACTAATTTGTTTTCGTGTAAATACCTGGGACTGTACTGTCAGATAGTATTTACATAGTTGCACGGCAGCACCCAGACTGAATGAAGTGTAGTACTCCCTCTATTCATTTTTATAAGACGTTGTAGATATTTCAGACAACACACAAAACAGTTCAATGTTAGCTGTCTGAAACATCTTATAAAAACAAACGGAGGGAGTAATACACACGTGTACTAACATAATTAGAGGGTGTTTGGTTCAGAAGTCCTAGGACTTTTTCTAATCCCAGGGACTAATCAAAAAAGTCTCTCTAGTAGAATATTTTTCTAGTCCCTGTAGAAAAAGTCCCTCCCGTTTGGTTCCTAGGGACTTTTTAGGGGCCTTTTCTAGTCTCTAGGACTAAAAAGTCCATGAACCAAACACCCCCTTAGTCTTCCAGAGTCTCAATTGTCCGTTCGACGAAGATGACACGGGAGAAACACTGATAATAATATCTAACTCCAGAGGCGCTTGCTCATGGACTCCTTCGTCGGGTGAGCGTCCCCGGCGGCGCCACCCGATCTCCTTCCCCCGGCATCCCCTGCTGCCGCCGGGACCAGATCTGCAATCAGCACGACGTCCTCTCTCTTCCGCCCCTCGAAGGTCTGCCCCCCGCGTCATCTGCATCGCTGGCTGCTCCCGTGTCCGTGACGCACCGATACTCGCGACGGCCACGCCATCTCCGGCTCCGGCCATTGCGCTCGCTACGGCCTCCCTCGCCACCCGCAAGGCGGATCCGTCCGTTCAAGGACGCGTCGCCTCGCGCAAGCTCCCCTGCACGCCAGCGGTGTCGGCAAGTACACTCCCGCCGCCAACTGTCCCCGTCCTCATTGCCGGTGGCATTTCCGGCTAGACGACGGCACCTTTCGGCCTCCTCTGCTTGTCGCCAAGCACCCAACTGCCCCGTGCACCTCTTGTGCTCGCCTGCATGGCGGACCCAGCAGGACATGTTTCCCCGCCGCCGCAGCCAAGCTTGGGCCATGAGGACGTCGCTATTGGGGTGCCGGAGACAACTCCCGGCCCGTCGGCAGTGCTGCCCTGCCACGATGCCGGCCGCCCACCTGCTGTCGTGTTGAGCTCTAGCACCCTTGTCCCCGCTGCCGATGTTGACACTACTCGTGATGATACGTGTTTGTCACAGTAGGTCGCGTTTTTTGTCATGCATGTACATCCATGACAAATTTATGACAGAATCAAGATAGTCATACCTGTGCTGTCGTAGAAGTGTTCCATGACATTACCAAAATTATCATCACGGAAGTGTCCACTTCCATGACGATAAATCGCGCGTCACAGAAGTGCTTTCATCAAGGGTGACCGACACGTGGGATCCACCGTAACGGAACGTCGTTAAGCTATCGGGTCGGGTTTTTGATCCGATAACCCGTTAACAGCCCCGACCAATGGGGATTTTGCACGTGTAAAATCATCATTGGCTGGAGGAAACACGTGTCGGCTCACCGTTGGGACAGATGTCATCCGCTCATTGGACCGAAGGTGCCTATGATACGGTGACACGTGGCATGGCCTAACAGAGGCCCATTCCTGTGAAAAGGCCGGCCCGTTTGACTTGGTCAAAAGGTGGCGGGCCAGCCCAAGGAAAGCCTATTAACGACCTGTTCGCATATAGCCCATTTACAGCCCGCTAACCCAGGGCCCGTTATGCCCTATCCAAATTTGGCCCAGTAGCGTCCTTTGGGCCGTCCAATATGGTTCAGCCCGTTTTAACTTTCGGCCTATGTGTGGCCCATGACTTCTTTCGGCCCATATGAGGACCTTTGTAACTCTTGGCCCATTAACAGCCCGTGGTGAAACTAGCCTGTAATGAATAGTGAATCACTTTATACCCATTAACAGCCCGTTTCTAGCCCAAGTTATCTTTCGACCTTCTCAGGGCCCATTGATTCTTGGGCTCATTT